TGAGTGGAATGTCAAGCCTCCTCATTCATGAAACACTTTTCTCACAAAACAAACAAAAAAATCAAATAAATCAGGACAGTGTCTTCAGACTCCTCAAATGCCACCATTAGGCACAAAGAGTATCTGATTGATGGAAGTTCTCGATTATTGTGCAAAAAAGAAGCCCTGCAACAGTAAATTTCACTAGTGTGCCTGGAGTGAAGTCTCACAGCTCATCAACAAAGTGCCATGCAGAGCTCTTAAAATGCAGGAGTAGCCAGTGGGCAAAGGCTGTCTAGCATTGCAAAAGTAATGGAGTCTATCATTACACACGTAAGAGATTCCCTGGCACCTCCTAACTCGAGTATTTTGTTAACAAGCCAAGGAATACAAGCATGAAATAACTTCTATGATTCTGAGAACATGTAAGGACAAATGTGCATTTCAGTAAGGAAACAAAATCATTGACTGGTGTGTACTTTGCAGTTTTAAACAATTCTCGGATGCCGAAAATCTCCATCTATGAGTCTTCCACTCAACTCCTAATGTCTTACTGAACACATCATCATATGAAGCAGAAACCATCAAAACTGCACACATGTGAATCCCTTAAACGTAAAATGCCTCAGAAAAATAATAGATACTAAAAAGATTGAAATTTCACAATACATACTGGTTTATTTCAGAGTCCAGCAACTTATTTCCCCAGTTGTTCAGAAAAGAGAATGGAAACACCTAAGTGAAGTTGCTATGAAACAATGGAAAACCACGGAGAAGACGTAAGCTAAAGGGGTCCTTCCTCTGAGCAGCCTCTGGGGAAGGAAAGCCCATTGGAGAGCAGAATTTAAAAAGGAGATATTGGCTTTGGCCAGTGTAGTATTTGACAGCATAGGAAAATGGGGATTCAGACTATCACTGGAGATAACAAACTTAAACTTTGTTTCCTAAATAGCAAGCTTGCCTAGAGAAGAACCTCTTAGCCACAGAAATGAGTCAATGCTGACATTTGTGGCCAGCACTGATGTGAAACATCAATTGTTCAGGAAGAGAATACACGTGCTGTCAAACAGGGTTACTAAAGGTGAACAGACAATTAACGCTCAGAGCCTTGAAATCTTAAGGGTCACTGCCTAGGCCTCCCAAAAAATTAGTCTAGATGCTCTTTATTATTTTCTTTGACTGGAAAACAGATTAGGACCATGCAACATATGCATGGGAAGTTGACACAGTTTCATGTTGCTTACATTCACTAGAGATTCTCACATCCATTCTTTGGGAAAGAAACATAGGGAAGTGCAGGTTATGCAAGTGTTCCTCTGCCTTTGGTGTTTCCTATTTCATGTTGTCTGTTCTTTACTTATCCTGTCACCTGATATATTTCTCTTCTGAGAGAAATCTAGACATGGTCACACAAAAGAGCACAACATTTCAGTGGTATAGTATTTGATCTCCCCTTTGGCTTTATTGATCAGCCATTAGCTTCAGATGAATGGCACTGTGATTTTGATTCAGCTGCTGGAAGATCCTCAACTATGAAGCCTAGTATCTTATGCTCTGAATTAATTCCTTAAGGTAGGTCTAAAACTAAGGCTGAAGTGTTGGGAAGGATTGTTCCTCCCTCTGCCAGATTAACTCTTGTCTTTGTTATGGGTGTAACCATTAATAGTTCCATTGTGGTATGGAGAAGTATTTGTGAGGAAACTTCTCTCTCCAAGAAATGCTCTGATATGCCTTCAGCCACTCAGGAGTAGAGACTGTGCCCACACTGGACTGCATTGCTCATTCCCAGGATGTTAGCAGATCTAAACGTTTTTGCTCAACTTTGACTTTTAAACAACTAGTTCTTTCTCTCAAATGAAGCAAAATCTTGCAGGAAAGATTCTTGGCAGCACTTTTTGCTCTGGCTTCCTGAGGAATGTGCTCGCTTTAAAAACTGAATGAAAAACCAATGGCACATAAAACTGCCTTATGACAGTGCTGGCAGATCTACCAGTTTCTTATCCACCCACATTTACCAAGCACTATGCATTATGTTAGAATTGTAACTTTGAAATTATAACCTCTGAGGACATGCTTTTTAATCACCAGTATCTCATTTTCTACTTTAGGAGTGCTGCAGAAGTGCTATTTGAATAGCGGGTACCAGATTTTAAATGTCTACAGTGATTAAAATATGCCATTAATGATAGTATTGAAAAAGTCCTTCAGCAGAGGCCTTCTGGATTCTCACATTCAGAGTCAATGAGAATATTTTAGCCATCTGCACACCTGATATTTGCTACTGCAGAGATCAAAAATCTCAGTATTTTCCAGTCAGCTTAGGTCCAGTGTGGAACACCTCAGTAATCTTTCGGCTCCAGAAAACATCCTTTTATGGTCACAGTTTGGGTATTCCTGCTTTATATCCCATGAAACAAGTATTATGCTTAGTATGGCTTTAAAAAGCCTCTTGAGCAATACTGACCTTCTTTTGCATTAATCCTTCTTTTTTCCTCAGCAACTGAAAACAGAACCAGTCTATAAAGATGAAAATACTCCTGCTCTAAATAGGAAAAGTTTGAAGTTTTGTGGCTGAGAACATCAGCACCAGATTTCCAAGATGACATGCAGAGATGAAGACCTAAATTATAGGCCACTACAAACACAAAAGTTTAAAGAACAGCCACTTCCCTCTTTCAAAAACTCTCTTGTATGTTTTTGGTTTCTCTAAGAACAAATTGTTGATGATGGTGTTTTCCTACTCTATTTACACAAGCCTAGAGTTATAAAAACCAGGCAGGCAGCACTACCCAGTGCAGCTGGAAATCAAGATTCACTTGGGTAATGGCTGCCTGGTGGATAGGGCAGCCTTCTTGCATAAACTCAGATTTGTGGCATGTGACTTTGTCTCAAGCTCTGCCTGCAGCCCAAGCTTGAAGTGTGATCCACACTGATTCCTAGCTGCAGTTGCTCAGTATATCTGAAAATCATGTGGTCCCTCCATACAGATAAGGGGCTTAACTCTATGTGCTTTGCTTTGAAGAACTGGTGCTTTTTTAGATGAAAATCTGAAAGCTATCACAGCTTTTCAAGACCAATAATAAGATTTTATCATATTAGGCTATGATCCATTTAGCAACACAAGCTGAGTTTTACCTAAATAGCTTGATGAGGCTCAAATGCCTCATGCTAGCCTCTTGCTTGCTCAGTGTTGCATCAAGTGCAGAAAGCAGAAGAGTCTGAGATGTCACTGCTACCACATGGCCATGCCAAACATCAGCAAGGATCTGACTGAAGCAGACACACCTAGGTAATTATGGCTAGTTATCCATGCCTCCGTCCCAACTGCCCCTTGCTGACCTAAGACATCCACCCCCAGGTCAGTGTGTACAGAGGATGGTTCCCACAGCCATATCCAAGCTTTGAGACACCAGGCACTACCAGTCCCAGGTCTGCACATGCAGGAGGTTGGCTTCTGCCCCTTGTCACAGGCAAATCTCTTTGCTAAAAGGGATGGCCTGGGGTCCCTAACCAGTGCCTGTGTTAATGTTGTTTGCTTACTTGCAGTCATAGGCACATTTTGGTGCACATGACTGGCCATCGGTGATTTCCCTCAATGCCTCCTGGGCGACACGAAGCTGAAAGCACAGGCTAACCTGTGCATTTTAGAAAGAGCCATCACCATCGCCATGTGCCATCACCACATGGCAGTCCTGTTTAATATCTTTTGTATCTTTCTTGATGGGTCCTGCACTTTGGCCACGACAACTCCTTGCAGCACTACAGGCTGGGCACAGAGTGGCTGGAGAGCAGCGACGCAGAAAGGGACCTGGGGGTGCTGATCGACAGGAGGCTGAACATGAGCCAGCAGTGTGCCCAGCTGGCCAAGAAGGCCAGTGGCATCCTGGCCTGCATCAAGAACAGTGTGGCCAACAGGTCCAGGGAAGTGATCCTTCCCCTGTACTCAGTGCTGGTGAGGCCACAACTCAAGTACTGTGTCCAGTTCTGGGCCCCTCAGTTCAGGAAAGACATTGAGGTGCAGGAGCAGGTCCAGAGAAGAGCAACCAGGCTGGTGAAGGGACTTGAGCACAAGTCCTATGAGGAGAGGCTGAGGGAGCTGAGGTTGTCTAGCCTGGAGAAGAGGAGGCTCAGGGGAGACCTCATCATTCTCTACAACTACCGAAGAGGAGGTTGTAGCCAGGTGGGCATTGGTCTCTTCTCCCAGGCAACTAGCAGTAGGACAAGAGGGCACAGGCTTAAGCTGTGCCAGGGGAGGTTTAGGTTAGATATTAGGAAGAAATTTTTTACAGAGAGAGTAATCCAACCTTGGAATGTGCTGCCCAGAGAGGTGGTGGATTCTCTGTCTCTGGAGGTTTTTAAGATGAGACTGGATGTGGCACTTAGTGCCATGGTCTAGTAACCATGGCACTGTAGGATCAAGGTTTGGACTTGATGATCTTGGAGGTCTTTTCCAACCCAATCTATTCTATGATTCTATGATTCTATGGCTAATCGTTACACTGACTGCTGATGGCTTGCAATATTTGCTGTTTGTGTTCACTGTCCTGGAATCATTCACACACACACTCCTCGGGAAGAGAAGAAAACGATCGCATTCAGCGTCTTGATGCTGCAGGTATGCAGTATTTATAAACGTAGCGTGTATGACGGGGCAACACACAATTTCTTTAAAACAACAACAACAACAACAAAAAAGCCATAAACCACCCAGCAAGCCGAAGTTCCCGGGGAGCGCCCTGCCTCGGGCACGCCGCTCCGCCTCTGCCGGCGGCGAGGAGCGGCCGCCCGCGCCTCGCTGGCAGCGGGGGCGGCCCAGAGGCTGCGCCGCCGGCACCGCGGCTCGCTGGGGGTGCTCCGCGCTGCTCTCCGCCGGGCCGGGGCGGTGGGAGAGACGAATCAAGCCGAGCCCAGCCGTGCCAAACCGAGCCGCGCCGCCCCGCCCCTCTCCTGTCCCCGCCCCCGCCGGTGCGGGCCCACCCCCCGGCGGCGGGGCCGCTGCGCCGCCGAGCCATGCGAGGCTTTAAGCGGCAGGTGCGGGGGAGCGGAGCACACGCACAGGCGGCGGCTGCGGCGGCCCGGCGGTAGCGGCGGGCGGGCGGGCGCCTTTGGGCTCGGCGGGAGCCGCGGCGGAGCGGAGCATGTCGGTGGCGACCGGGGGCAGCGAGGCAGCGGCGGGAGGCGGCGGCGGGAACCGCGTTTTCTTCCAGAGCCCCCGCGCCGGCGGCGGGAGCGGCGGCTCCTCCGGCAGCACCTCCCGGGAGGACTCGGTGTCGGCGGCGGCGGCGGTGGTGCAGGTCCAGCAGCGGCGCCACCAGCAGGGGAAAGTGACGGTGAAATACGATCGGAAGGAGCTGCGGAAGCGGCTGGTGCTGGAGGAGTGGATCGTGGAGCAGCTGGGGCAGCTCTACGGTTGCGAGGTGCGGGGCCCGGGTCGCGGGGTCCCCGGCGCGGTTGCTGCCGCCACAGTCCCCTCGCCCGCCGCTGCCTTCCTCGCCCCCGTCATCCTCCTCCCGCCCCGACTCGCCTTTCGGCGGTGGGCAGGGGAGCGCTGTCACCGCCACCTCCAAATGACATTCCTGGCCCGCCGCCCCCTCCCTGCCGCCGCCCCGCGCCTCCGCGGTGCCCTGCCGCAGGGAACGGGGGAAAGGCGTTCCCCGTCCTGCAGAAGGGGTGTCCCCCGTCCCCTCCCGAGCTGAACGGGAGGGGACCGCCCTGCGGGGACGGGCGGTGGCTGCCGCACGGCCGGGCACGGAGCGGCCCCTTTCCTCTGGGATGCCGGGAGGTGCGCCCGCGGCGTGTTTGGCCGGGAGCCACTGTCCCTGCAGCCCTCCAGGGCAAGGCGGACCGGGGCTTGGGGCCAGGCGGGCTTCGATCTCCGTTAGACGCCGGGCTGGGCGAGCGCCGGGGCGGCCGGCGGGCCGGGGGGGACAGCCATGTGCGGCGGGCGCAGGGCGAGGAGGAGGAGGAGGGAACGGGAGCTGCGCGGGGGCTGTGCGGAGGTGGGTGTTGTGGCGGAAGGACTCCGGTGCGGATACGGTCCCCTCTGGGCCGTGGTTTTGCATTATCCCGACCAGGTAGATACTGGCCAGGAGATTTCAGTGAGGAGTTCGAAGATCATTAGGACGAGAATGGACAACACCGGGGGCTTGTATGTGCCTAATTTGTAGGTATCAAACCTGTTTTTCTGTTACTCCGGGCAAAGAGCGAGTGTTGCCAGAATGAATTCTCTTTAGTAGAGGACAGGTGAGCAGGGCGGTGTTTCAAGATTGTTCAAAGGAATGGCAACTGTCGTTGTTCTTACAGAGATGATGTTGTAAGTAAAGGAAGTACCAGTACGTTGTTTTGTCAAAGCTTCATTAAAAATGTAGACCTTCTAGTCCCCAGGAGATCTTACCTCCCTTCCACCTCAGGTATTTACTGTTACAAAGGATCAAAATGTTATGGCTAACCTGGGGTTTGCACATATTTTTCCCATCAGTAGTCTAATTCACTTTTATTAGAGACTTCTGAAGTGAGATTTGTTGAAGCCAAATGTGAATTTTGCAGCTAGCATCTCTGGAGCCAACATCTCACACCAGGGCTCCTGGGCATTCTGGAGCTAGGAAGGCAAGAGCTTGACAGTCCTTGAGGTGTGGAAGTCTTGAGTGGATGTGAAAACGTAAATAACTTGGTTGGAATATCTAGCACACAGGTAATATAAATGTTTAAAGAAACTCCTTTAATCTCAAAACCAGCTTATCAGCCAATTTGTTAGAAGCGTGCATAAAAAATGTGCATATCGCAAGTTAAACTTCCTTAACTATTCACATCCATGAGCTATGGAAAGGAAAAATACAAACGGAAACTCTAGTTAAAAATAATGAAAATAAACAGTTCTTACTCTTTCTCTTGGTGTGACTTGCCTCTCCAGTCTCATGACTTGTTTAGCCACATAGCCTGTAGGCTGGAAGGATTTCTCTGAGGTCAGGAGTGTTTACAGATGTTTGTGTGAACTGATGATTTTGTGTCCGTGCAAGCTCATAATGTAGTTAGTATCTGGTCTGCTGGATCCATCATCTGGTTTAACTCTAGCTATTCAAAAGCACCAAGCCTTTTTGAGCTGTGTGGCTTTGACATCCAAGCATAATTGTTCTGTTTGTAAGAGAATGCAATACACAGGACCAAACCAAAGCCCAAAGGAATTATTGCTACTCTTCACAGTATTCAAATCACAGGCTTGTTGAAGGAAGGTCTTTCATTCTTTTCCTTATTGTGGTTTTTGCCTCCAACAAAAATAGAAAAAGATCTGCTTTAAAAGCAGGGCTCTTCATTAAGGTGGGAACCATATAAGTCTGCGTAAAACTGACTTATTTGGTTTCTGAGGTGACTCTTAGAGGGAAAAAATGGTTTGACACAAAAGATGAAAATATTTTTAGCTTTGAAGGCTGAGGGCAAAAATGCTTCAGTCGTCTTCTGCTCTTCCTTGCTATTACGCATGAACTCTATCCAGTGCCAGCACAGATAATGGTAGTGAAAAGGTCAAGCAATTAATATGCTATCAGAATAAAGTTGAAGATGCATGATGAGTGTAGCGATTAAAGACAACAGCAATTTAATGCAAGATGCTTTCCCTGAATCTGCTTGAATTACTTTTAGGCTTAGAGATATAGCTCTCAGGCTGAAATTTAATCACCTATGCAGACAGTTAATAACCCTGTCTGAGGGCAGGTTATGTGTGTGTGGGGAGGGGGTTGGGAATTGCTCACTTTAACTTCTGTAGAAGATGTACTATAACTTCCCAATGCAATGACACTTAAATTCTGAAACAACCTGAAGTCTTTCATGTCAGAAATAGACATCAAATTGTTAATCCTGGAGGAGCTAACCAGTGTCAGTGTTTTATTGCTATTCTGATTCAGGGCTCTGTTTCTAAGGAGCAATGCACTTTATTCCTGGGAAAAGCAGAAATAAGTAGAGGGCACTTGCAGTATGATGCTCTAAAAGTCTGCAAGAAGACTTGAGTGTCTCTGTGGGACTGCATAAATGTAGTGCCTGTTCGCTGTTTTCCATTTAAATAATCTTTCCTATTATGCTGAGATTCATCAATAAGTGGATACTTGCAGAAACACTCCCTTTATTTAAAGCCAAACATGTATTCATAGTCTCTCAAGTACTTGCAAGTCGGCTATAAACCTCTCTTGGCTTGATGACAAAGTTTAGGAGATGAGGTTGGGAAATAACGAAACAGGTTTGTTTGTGTTCTTTTTCTAGTAGATCTTGTCTTTACTGATACACTTCTAGTTTTAAAAATTGGATACCAAGCAATATAATGGTGTTGGGGGGAGTGGTTTAGAAGGAGCTGTTTGAGACTATTTTTAATGCAGACTACAGTTATATGATACCAAGATCAGCTTTAGAAAGGTTACTTCCACGTGATGCAGACTTCAGGGATAAAAACCAGCCTGAATGGTAAAGGGTTACCAAGGTAGGAAACTTTAATAGGACCAGAGAGACTTAAGCAGGATTTGTTGGGCACCAGAACCTTCAGGCTAATGAACTCAGGTCAAGTGCTTCAGGTGAGTGTCAGTCTGGCTGTTTGTTTCTGGGACTGCTTCATTAAAAAAAAGTTTTACAACCTGTTTGTTCTGGTTTCTATGAATGCTGAAACAGGTTGTGGTCACAGGTTACTATATTGAAAATGCAGTGCCTAATTGCAGGACTTGGATTGACTTCAGTGTTGACCTTTACTAGGTATCTTGTTTCTAAAAATAGTTTCTCCACAGATGCTTTGTGTTTTAGGCTAAGTCCATTATTGGTTAAGAATTGCAAAATAATGCTGCACAAAACAACTTACATCATCACTGTTCATTCCCTAATGGTTTGCAACTTGTAGTTCAGCATGAAAGTGATGACAGTAGTTTTCCAGATGTATTATCTACATTGTGTGCACCTGCCAGACTTGTACAACTTTATATACGAAAAAAGAGACTACTGGATTTGTCCCCAGAAATCATTCAACTTTGGAGGTGAATTTCTGTTCTCTGGGGTCCTGTGTACCCATAGCTGTACCATTTGCTCTAAACAACACACAGATTTTGCATAGCAATGAAGAAAGATTTTGTTTGTGCTATGGATTTGTTGCTGAATATTTTTTAACGTAGAGATTTGCATGTGCAAGTCAAATGGGTCCTTAGATTATACACTCTAAAAGCTGAATATTAGGCTTACCTTCTAATATGAGATATTAGATAATTGCTAACCTTTGCTGAGTAATAAACTATTTTATTAGAGTATGTCTACAGAAATCAGTACTTGTCAAAGGATATGATGTTGGTCTGGAAGTAAGAGGGTCTTATGTCCAAACATACCCCTCTTCCATTTCAGAAATGGAAATAACCTGGGATTCTGTTTAAAAATTCACAGTACAAGAAAATATAGTTGGCAGTGCTGTTGATGGCTCTTAAGACATTTCCTTTAGGAGAACAAACCCATGCCAGACTGAGACAAGGGAACAATTTAAATCAGTTCTGCATGGATCGAGAGCTCTCTTTCCCTCTGTGCTCTGTGACTGTGGTGCTGGAGAACACCCTCTTTGGCCACCCTCCTGAAGCTGCTGGGATATGCTAACAGTGACCACTTGTCCCTAATATAGCTCCAGATAGTCTCTTGGTCTGTGCACACTTCAATTTGGACTGGTGGTTGCTAGACAGGAGAAGACAAGAGGAAGGCCCTTATTTAGGCTGGAAAGAGTGATCACAAAAGTAAAAATTTCCTAGCCTTCCTTTTCTCCTGCTGCACAGATGTCTTGACTACAGTGGTCAAAAGCTAGTGGCAAGGTATAAAAGTTGGACTGAGGGTTGGGAGGAAGGTGAGCTGTCTGTCTTGTATGAGGCTTTCTGAAAAGGATGGATTTTTGCAAGAGGGGTTCTATTCAACCGTAAGTTCTGAACAAATTGACTATATCTTCAAAATATATTCTAAATACTGGATTTATTTAAAATATATTTTAAATACAGTTGCAGACTGATGGGAGGTCTACCAAAAACGGTGCTGCATATGCTGAATAAAGTTCCTCTGCATTTCCATCCAAGCATGCATTGCTTGTGATTTGGTGGACTTGTTTGCAGCTCTTTCTCCCCTACTATTTGGGACTGTATTTATAGGGGGCACTGTCCTTTGGCACAGTATGGACCATCTTCTCCAGCTCACTTGCTCATGGATCACAAGACTGCCCTGCAGATCCTGTGTCTGAAACAGTTGCCATGGTTACCAGTGATCCATTCTGTTTCGGGGTTGGAAAAACGGTGGATCAAAGGGTGCAAGGACTTCAGGGCCAAACATTTCCACCCCTGAATTCTGTCCTTTCCAAAACAGCCTGGTCAGCATGCTTATAAGACTGCCATGTTATGATGTGGACCTGATGGTGTGATCAGGTGCT